TTTCACAAGAGCAAAATCAAAAGTTTGCCTCCTGAACTGATTACCTGTTGATGAATGGAGCAGGTTGAATAGACCACCCTCTTCACATGAGGAAAGGACAAGGCATGGTTTAACACAGACAACTGAAACTTGGCTAGTGATAGAAGCCTTTCCTGCAAAAATGAGAAAAAAGCTGGCATTCACAAGGTTGTCCTTAATTTATTAAGCCTTTGACTTTCATTAGCAGCAGATCTTACCTCTTCTTTAAGCTTGTCTTCCTTTTCATCAATAATGCCATCCATCCTGTCGACAATACCAGACCCAGAGCATGATGGATCTACCACAATGTATTGCACTTCAGTGTACTTCTCACCTAAAGGATTTACCTAAAGCAACAAAATTCATAAGGTTACAGCATAAGTTCTCCATAGAATGACACCATGGAACCTCTCATCTAAACAAATTACCTAAAACAACAAAACTCATAATGCTACAGCACATGTTTTCCATAGAATGACATCATCTGTAAGTAACTTTTGTAATCAGGTATCACATAGTACAGAATAGTTCCTAATGGTTACCAGATCAGTTCCTGTACAGATGCATGTACCAGACATCACTGTAACACTTGCTATAGAGAAAACTAGGAATACTAGATGAATTATTGGCTTTTAAGAAGTTTCCTTCCTTGTACCACTAGCCTTACAATTCAATTGTTCAATAAACGCTGAGTTACTAACCTCCAGAAAACTACAGTTTGTCATTGTGACATACTCCACTCCAGCTTTCTTCATCAGAGTTTGCATTACTGTTAACCTCTTCCTATCACTGTCAAATGCATATATTTTCCTGACATCAAAACAGAAAAAGACAGCTGATTAACAAAGCTCAAGTTCAAAACTGGAGGTGCACAAAAAGTAGGGTCTAACTCCCAGAGTTTCATGGGGTGTGCTAAAATCAGTGTTCTTTTCCCCCAATATTTTTTACTCACGCAATAGACTTCCCTGAACAGGAGGGACAGCTTGTAATATAACCACATTAGAGAATGTCAATACATAAAAATAGAAAAATTATCAGGATGATAAAGTAACTGTTGATGTTTACTATACATACCCTGAACCATTCATCAAACTTGCCACATGACTGGTTTTGTTCCCAGGGGCAGCACAAGCATCAATCACATGAGAGCCGGGTGGGGCAGCTAGAACATGTGCTGGTAGGCAACTGGCCTATATTTATTTAACAAATAATATAAAAAAGATCAGAGTCACAGTTGAACTTTCTATCACAATTAGAATGATTTTTTAAAAAAAGATTTTTTTTTACAGCACTAATATCTGCAAGCTGATCTATGCAAGAGCTTTCTTGTTAACTCCCCTCTGCATGAACAATTTGCATCTGAAAGATACTGTTTTTAAAATCATCAAAAAAAAGAGCCCCAAAGCCTCAGAAAAGCCTTGGAAAAACATGAACAGAAGCAGTTCATCTTGCCAAGAATTTGTGACATTAGCTGTCCTTACTTTATCTTGGAGTATGATGTGTCCACTGACATAAAGAGGATGATCATGCAGATCTGTTCCTGCAGGAAACACCAAGACATCTGAGAGGTGTTTGTCACACATGAACTGCTTACATGAAGAATTCTAGTTGTGTTAACAGAAAGAAAACAACATTGTTTAAAATAGTGTAACAACATGATGAGTCAAAGAAAAGCAAGAGTGTAATGTGAAGACTGATTGTCCAGATTAGGAGAGCCCCTTTAAGTGCCTATGACAATTTTTTTTTCCTTTTTGTACTTATTTAGCTTATCATATAACCAATTCCATTAAAAGAAAAATTTCAAAAAAATTAAAACTCATATTTTGGGGGCTCTTAAGTGCTCTTAATTTGTCTTAAAAGTGTCTCCTGGACTGGAAAAGAGTTCGTGGATGAAGACATAGAAAATTGTGGAAACTCTCAGTTGACACATAGAATGCAACTGACTGATAGCACAATAACCCAAGAAGAGGTTTCATCAGATTCAAGCACTTTCCAAAGAGAGTAGAATTTAAAAATTACATCTTTGTCCCTTTTCCTTAATGTTTGCTCACAAATTAGCAAGATATTCACCTGCGCAGCTAATGAAGCAATATCTTGTTTGTCTACCAGTTGATAACCATTATTTTCAAAATCATTCATGACATCTTTCAGTGTTGTCTTTATCCTATTGACTCGTACATATCTTGGAATTGAGCCTCACAAAAGAAATTATAAAAGGATTAATCCATGACAAATACAAAAAGTTGTAAACACAAGACTACAAAAATGGTTGACCCCTAAGGGGCATAACAATGAGACCCAATACTCTGTCATTTGCTGTGTGCAGCCAATTGTGGTTATCACATACATGTGTATCCATAATGCTACTGGGTCACACAGTTCATTGCTTCTACTCTTTAGGGTCAACATTTTTGCAAATGAATGTGATGAAAAGTCTTTGCTATGTCCCTGGGTCAACTGATCCTGGATCAGATAAAAATCCCCGCAACCTGGGAATAAAGATTAGAAGATCAAGGAAAGCTATCCAGGCAATCATTAAATTAACCAAGTATGGATCCAGGAGGAAAAAGGAATAGGTTAAGGAAAGACATTGACAAAGAGCTTATTCACCTCTAAAAATTAGCCAAGCCAAGCCAAGCTCAAGCAAGCTGCCTACTCGATTGATACAGAATTCTTTACTTACATAGTCTATTACATACATGTACATGTAGATACTACTACGAAAGATACAGCTTTCCTTTGCTGTTTATTTTCAGAATCACATTCAGTTTTACTCAAACAGCTTATTTGTGGACCTCTGGTTATCTATTTTCCATGTTTATTTTAGAAAAAAAATTAACAGAGTATCACTGATGAAAAAAGTAAAACTGCATCAGACTGCCTTTTACATGAAATCAATACTCTTACACAGAATGTATCATAACTTAAAAATGATTTAATACGATATTTTCAAGTGTTTGAACAAATAATTTCCCTACCCCTTTCACCAAACTTTGCTTGGCTGAAACCCACACCAACCGCACCCCCATAGGATTGCAACTGACCCTTCAGGGATGGGATGTGAAAATGTGCAAGAAGCAGAAATCATGGAGTGGTCACCTCTCTGTATCTTTTAATTACCTGTCTCTACAGCAGGTTTAGGCAACAGATCCTCATTGCGATGAACCTTGGCTCTGATCTTCAAACGTGCCAAACATGACTGAAGGGCAGCTTTGTGATTAAAAATGAACTGTTTCAACTCTCCACCACATTCGATTCCTTGGCCAAACAGGAAGTCATACACTAACACTAAGGCATAGCTATGTTTGAGCTGAATAATGGGAGATATCACTATTAGTAAAACGACTTCGAGAGCAATTTAGTGTTAATAAACACAGGTAAATTTTTCAAAGACAACAAAATTACACCCAGCCTATAGGGGCTATTTATATTTTACATGTAAAACACATCACGGAAATTCAAGACAATCATCGTTTTAATCATAATATAGTTACCTTTTTCTCAAGTTTTAGAAGTCTTGTTTGTTCGAAGATATCTTCCAAAATTCCTCTGTCTATATATAAAGGAACATTATTCATCGCTGAATCGAAACACAGCTTCGATCACATATGGAGTCAAAAAACAAAAGAGAACTGTAAAACGGAAAGCTTATGGACGCTTATAATAACTTAACTATCTCCCACCAACAATCCAAAGAAGAGGTTTAACAGATCTCAAAATTGAGAGATCGACCATTAGTACTTCAGAAAGGTTTGAGCAAAAAATATAATCTAAACTCACATTTTAGTGTTTCACACACCAAGGCGTAAAGTTTTTTCTTCTTGGGAAAGCGACTGTTGATCGCCAAGTTTTTAGCAGTGCCTTGTTTCTTTGTCACTTTGTCTACAATTTGTGCAGCGCATGAGTACAGCGCCGCCATCTTGTAAATAGCGCGATTCTGGTATATGTGTCATGTAAGACAGGCGAAAAGGCACCTAGTCAGGTATGTCATGTAACATGTACTGATATACGACCCTATTCAAATCCCTTTCACACACATTGTGACTGGTTCTTACTTATGATCTATCAGAGAACAGACACGTCAACATTAACAACATGATGCTTCTTTGATATGAACAACGAATACATCCCATTATGCCATGCAGTCGTTCAGTTAACCCTTTAACTCCCAGAAGTGATTAGCATGTAAGTTCTCCCTGTAATATTCTTACATTAACCTGCACACAGGTGACAAGAATACTCAAATTAATCTGGTAGAAGTTTTTATCTTGATCCAACACCAAATTCTCGTTACTAATTTACAAGGAGATGTGTAGCAACAGGGGAGAATCAACAATCAGATCTTGGAACTTGAGGGTTAAAGATCATAATAGACTTCAAAGTGTGACAAGTACATCAACACACTCTTCTGTGCCCTGTGTGCCACTTAACTTTTTTGTTCTTGATACATTTGGGGGAC